GATGATGATGATGATGATGATGAAGACGACGATGACGATGACATGACAATGACGACGACAACGACGACGACAACGACAACGACGACGACAACGACGACGACGATGACAATGACGATGATGATAATGGTAGCGGTGGTAGTAATGGTAATAGTAGTAGTTGTGATGGTGGTAATGATTTTAATGATGATGGCGAGACAGTGAAACGCGATGATAATCAAAATTGCTCTTGACGTTTGAAAACGTTAGAAAAAGGCGGGAGAGTAAAAGCGGAAAAGGGATAGAAGGGAAAGAGAAAGAAGGGGGAAAGAGATTACTGTTATGAGAGGATAGCAAATGTGATTTATACGGTAATGGCAATTATTACTCATCGATGATGATGTGCGACCCATTGGTTTCGGGATTCCGTCATTGAAATGCCCCAAAAGCTACAGTAATCTCTTAAGCATACATTTGTCGGTATTATATATTTATAGCTTTGTCGTTAATTTAAATTAATAAATTATGGAAGGATGATAATGGATTAATGATTGATTAATGACACAATGATGTCTCGGTTATTTAACTTTGCAGATTACATTGTATAATGAATCACCGGATGAGAGCTGCATTTAAAAAGTTTGCACAGCATGCAATGTTACTAGAACATATACAATTTAAGCTTCGTTTTAGTTTTCTTCTTAAAATTATTTTTGTTATATTCTCCTAAATCTTAAAATTTATTCTAAGTTATTTAAATATTACTACTGTGTATTTAATGTTGCAATAAAAATTGAGCATAACATAAGAAAGAACATTAAATAAAAATAATTAATGTTACATACTGACAACAAAGTCTGATCGAGTACATAACAAACATAATTAACATATCTATCTTATTCTTCTATGAACAACACGATTACATATTTAAAAAAAAATTCAATAGTTTAAATAACAAAAAGTACGGTACACACATTTGTATTGTTAAAATACTTAACAAATAAGTGATATTAGATTTTTTCTCGACAATGGCATGTGATATAATGGATGTGATGGATGATGTGGAGTCGACGTGGAAAACTGTATCATGATTCATCGCAGGTTAAAAACAGGATCTTTCTCGCGTAATCGCAAAGGACTACGAAGGCGAATAATACATCGCACAAATAACTTTCATACAGTATCTATCGATATAACTACCGTTTACTAGATGAGGGTATTAAAGGCAGAGGCAAAGAAATAGAGACAAATAGACAGAACTATCATGCATCTGCCTAAACATTAATGACGACGCAATTATAATAATTGACGCTCACCGCATTGTATAAAAACTTGTATGCAAATATATCTTCAAAGTATTCTTATCTAGCATAGAAATAAAATAATCAAATACCTCAGCAATTAACACTTCAATCATTTTAAATCATTTAAGCTTTTAAATCCAAACTGAAAATTCCTCTTACCTACTTTCTGACGCATTTACAATTTAATTTACCAGCGCTTTAATTCTACATATAAATATAAAATAATTTGCTTTAAATAACTCTTACAGAGAGAAAATTAAATATAAAAAATTTAGCATATCTTTCGGCGTAATGTGACATTATTATTTTTAGGCAAAATAAAATGCTTTTAATTGTTGTACATACATTTTAGTAAATAGTATAACGAACCAAATGATAATTATCGTACAAATAAATTTCGCGAGCGGTGAGCATCTCCGACGTACAATTGTACAAGTATAATAATTATGTAGGACGAACGTTTTTTGACTTTCGAGGCCGACAAGAGCAGACAGCAGTCCAAAAGGTCATATATAATATAGATATATATGTAAGTAATCTATCCAAATCCAGTTTATGCACAAAAATGCAAAAGGGACTCGACTGACAGATTACGAACTCTAATCGATTCAAGAAACGATCCCCTTGGGATATTAAACCAGCTGAGAATACTTCTGATACGACTAACGCAAAATGTAATTTTCGGTTTACACTACTTACTCGGGCGTGGATGTCTTTCGGGCTCGCCGCTTTTCTCCCTGTGCTCCTTATCCTTGTCCTTTATTTCTTTTTCTTTTTCCTTGACAAAAGAAAGCAAATCCTACGGTATAGTCTACTGTATCAGCTGAGATGCAATACTAAAATATGATTAAAACTTTGTCCATATAATTTCATACACATTAACATTAAATTAAAATATTGTTTCTTTTTTCTAAAATACTGTTTCCTCCTTTTTTAAAACTTCTTTCCAATAAACGTTCTAATATACAGAGCATACAGAGTGCCCCATTTAAATATGTCGTTCAAAATAACTTGTTTATTTTTAAAAATATACGAAAAGAAGGCATATTTGTTGAAATATAACGATAAAAGTAAATAACTGTTCAAATAGTTATTTTTACCGATAAAATGTAATCGTGTTTCATCGTTACAGATGAGGAAAAATGCCGTTACCAATTCGATATCGAAAAAAAAGTAATTCTAATGGTAATGGCATTACACGTAACGCGTTACTTCTCAATCTTGTATATGTTTCTAATGAATCAGTGACATACCTTAGTATCCTTAGTAACAGATGGTGCACGGGGAACCTGACGTTTAGGCGATCTGCGATCGGTGACGGTCGGTCCGAGGCTCTGCGAGCGTCCGGTTCTCGGACTATTCTTCGGACTGGACTTGATGCGCGGCTGAATTTCGTCCCGATGCTCCTTGACGTCGTCACGCCGCCGTGGTATCACGGGCTCCAGCTTCTCTCTCGTTGGAGAGGGAAGCAGTGCACCGTCACCTTCGTAGAACAAAATTTCTTTTTATTTTAGGACAATTTGCAAAAGAACGAGAAGGGAAACAAAATATGATACTTATATGTGTATATAATTTATAGAAATTAGTCAATTAGATGTATATTAATTACTTGAATAAAATAGTTAATTTAATATCCCAGCAAACACCAAGTGACATGCAACTTACATGCTAGTTATAAT